TAAAAAACATTTTACTTGTATTAACAAGATGAAGAACTGATCAAATTTTCATGAAGGCAGGTCTAGCGGTTTTGGAGATCTAGTAAAAAAAGTAAAAAAAAAAATCATCTGGCGGTCAAAAATGATCATTAGACATATACACATCAAATTATCAGATATTTTATAAAGATTTTAACATTAAGTATAAATTTTGCTTACATTCCTATGGGTTCCGTACCAATGCTTATCCGCTAGACGGCGACGCGGCTCTTACGCGCTTAGATATTTCGTCTCTATGCAGTTAAAGCAGTACGATTGATTTGAAAAAGAGTTCAGAATTTCCAAAATATTTCAAAATAAATGATTTAAAATAGAATGATTTAAGATGATTTAATATGGTTCGAAATTCTATTAAAAGTTTCAAATCATTGATCAACTTTTATTGATTATTTTTAATTACTCGAATTTTGAATTGCGGTACGGGAAGTTCCAGCAATTTGCCTTAAGGCACTATGCCCTAATTGCCTTAAGACAGAATTCCATTCCATTCTTACAGCTAGTTGGAATCATAATAGATGCATTGCGTTGCGTTGCGTTTAGTAATTGAGTGGTGCAGCTCTATTCCTCTACTCTATATGATTTTCGCACCAGCCGCGCCGTCGCCCGTCGCCCGTGAACGGCGTATTGCATTTCTGACTGGTATCATTATCACGGGCAGCCGGCGCTTTGCCAGCAATCCTTTCCCTCTCTGTTGAAACATTTAAACGGTGCGATACCGGACGATTCGCAATGTCGAATTATATTCATTGTAGATAAACATGAAATGATAACTATAAACTACAACTATGATATATAATAACTGCAATATTTAATATGACGATTTTATGGCATTGAATTCGCAAGATCAACGTACGTTTCAATATAACAATGGTTTGCTGTTACATGCAGGAACTGCATAATTGAAAGTTAATCAGAAAGCGATTTTATAGCAACATCTTCAATTTAAATAATAATTTTATTTCAAAACATTATATATTTTTCACATTAACTTAATTTAACTTTGATAAGTAACTTATTAAAGTTAAGTCATTGTAATGTTTTTTTTTAATATAAATTAATCTATTTAAATATAAATTTTGATTTCGAATCGTTTGTTTCACTATAAATTCCATATATCAAAAAATAAATATTGTATTTAAAATGATACCGATTTATATTACTACAAGATCAAAGGTGTACTAGCTTGATATTTAAAATTATTTTTTATTATTATTTTCAATTTTATATGCTCTGAGCAGAAAAGCTCGTATGTTAGTATAGAACTTTTGATCAGAAACCAATACAGAAAAATGAAATAAAACACGTTTAAATTTCTCTAAAAATATGTTTCACTGAAATATTTAAAATGTTTACTTAGTCGATAGTCAAGTCTATACTAAAAATCATTATTATTTAGAAAATTCACGATTTTTTAACTTCCAGTATGGTATGGTAAGTTATAGTAATCGCAAAAAAAAAATGAAAATTAAATTTTTTATATATCTTTACGTTTCATAACCTTCTGAATATTTTGTCATACCTTAGAATAAATGGATGATTGTGTGGATATTTTTCTCGTCGACGATTTTGAGAATACGAATCAAACGATTTAAATTATTCAAAAAAACATTCGATTTCTATTGATAAGGAGACGTGCTGATTAATTTTGCAAAGGCAGGTCCAGCCGTTTTGAAGATACGCGGCAAAAAGTGTCAAAAATGGTGATTTAGTTTCTGAGAAAACAAAGCATCGGATTTGAATGATTCAAAAAATATATTACTTGTACTGATGAAACAAAAAACTGGTTAAATTGTTGGAAAGGCAATATTAGTGGTTTCGGAGATCGAGTAAAAAAGGTAAAAAAAAAATACTATTTGGCGGTTCCAAATTATCATTAGACATATGCACATCAAATTATCAGATATTTTATAGAAAATAAATAAGTACGAATTTTGTTTACATTTCTATGGGCAACGCGCTTGAATATTTCATCTCTAAAACAACTACGGAGTTCAATTGCTTTGAAAACAAGTTCAAAATTTTTAATCAAATTCAAAATATAAAAAAAAATTATTTTGTTTCAAAAAATTTCAAATTTTTTCACAAATTTAAAAAAATCTCAAATCTATTTTTTCTTGTATTCAAAAAATTTTAAAACTTTTTTAAAAATTTTAATTCTTGGTACGTAAGTTTCAGCAGTTTGCCTTGGGGCACAATGTCATGCAATGTCATCACTAGTTATTATTAACTTTCCGTAGGGCAAGTTATAGTAATCGCAAAAAAATCAAAAATGAAAATTTTTATATCTTTACGTTTCAGAGGTTTCTGAACATTGTGGCATACCTTAGAAAAAATGGATGTATGTGTGTGTGTGTGTGTATGTACGTGTGTGTATGTATGTGCGGATACAAATTTTCGTCGGCGATTTCGGGAACACGGATCAACCGATTTGAATAATTCAAAAAACCTTCGATTCGTATTGATAAGGAGACGTTTTGATTAGTTTTTGGCGTAGGCAGGTCTAGCCGTTCCGAAGATACGGGGCAAAAAGTGCCAAATACGGTAACTCAGTTTTTAAGAGAACGGAGCGTCCGATTTGAATAATTCAAAAAACATTTCACTTGTATTGACAAGATGAAGTATCGATAAAATTTTCATGAAGGTAGGTCTAGCGGTTTCGGAGATATGGAGGAAAAAGTAAAAAAATGAGCCATTTGGCGGTCAAAAATGATCATTAGACATATGCACATCAAATTATCAGATATTTTATAGAGATTTTAACAATAAGTATACATTTTGTTAACATTCCTATGGGTTCCGTACCAATGCTTATGCGTTAGACAGCGACGCGGCGCTTACGCGCTTTATATTTTGTCCCTATGCAGTTAAAGCAGTACGATTGCTTTGAAAAAAAAGTTTAGATCTTCCACAATATGTCAAAATAAAGAAAAAAAATTTTTTTTCAAAAAAAGTGATTTTTTGTCCAATTTATAGTTTCTCAAAAATCTTATTTTTCCAAAGTAAATTTTTTTCAAAAATGTTAATCGTTTTTAAAAAAATAATAATTTTTGGTACGAGAAGTTCCAGCAATTTGCCTTAAGGCACGATGCCATAATTGCTTTAAGACAGAATTCCACTTACAGCTAGTTAAAATCTCTATGAAAAACCTGATAACTTGAAATTCACATATCAATACCAGGTTTAAGCTTTGCGTATCAGTAGTTTACGTTTTAGTATTTTCTGATAATTTCGGCGTCACTTGAAACGATATCAAAATTTTCCCAAAATGTTTATATTTTTAAGGTACATATTTACATTTTCTATTTTTTGTAATAGATTTATGAAGCAACCAGAACATTACAATATTTCTATAAGCTAAACTAAAATATTTACATTTTCTACAGATGCAAGCAAAGTGAGAAGTTCTGGCCTCAAAGATAAACATCACATGTTAAACCCGATTAAATCGATTTTATCACTTTTTGAAGTGAATTATTATGTTTCAAGTACAGCATTAAAAAGCTCATTTTCCATTAATTTGGTACACAATTTGGAATACAAAACGATATTGCTCTTACTTGAGGCCATACTGTGTGTCAATCATATTTTATATTTTATGGAATTGACATCAAAATACACAAAATACTTTAAAATAAGCTCACAAAAATTTTTACTAAATTCACCTTTTTTATCAAAATGATCAAGAGTGGAACAAACTGAAAACGTACTTTTGTTTCAGTTCGACCTTGGATTAGCCGATGTTGTAATAAATTCACCACTGCACGAAACCCACGTTCGGTATTCCAATATTTAAATATTTGCTTCGATTTTAACCTCAATTGGATTAGAACAAGAATGCGGCATTCTCTAATAACACTAATAGGCACTGCGAAAATTGTTAATTTACCTTCGCCCATTACATTTATATGGCATATTCAATTTATTGATTTATTTTATTAAAATGTAAGCAGTGACTATTAAGGATCGCAGTGAAAAAAGAAACCTTTCATTTCAATGTTTAGTTTATTTTATTAACTGATTCGATAAACTTGACGTTTTGAATTATTCTAAGAAGTTTAGTACAAAAATGAGAAAAGATCCTATGATGTATCGATAGTAATGAATTATTAAGAAAATTAATTTTAGATTAATTTAATCCGTTATATGAATTATTATCCGGAAGTTTTTGAAGTACTCTAGATAGATTTCTAAAAAAAATTGTAATATTTTGGTTTAAAGTTAAATTTCTTTTAGTATAGAAAATGAATAAGTCGATTCATAATTTACATTTATTGTTAGATGAATATGTGATTAAAAATTATTAAAAAGATCTTCCACAAATGTTTAAATGTATTTGATGATGATAATTAGAAAATCATCTCAATTGATGGTTTATAAAAATCGTTTGAACCGTTTCTTTTATGTAATAGTTGCGGATTTTAAGTTTATTTTTTTAAATAAATTCGAAATTGATTAAAAAAAAATCTAGATTAATTTTAAAAATTACGATTTTTTCATAAATATATATAGATGACGCTTTGTTGGTTTGTGCAAACATTTCATAATTAACAATTAATTTTATACTCTGCTCTAAAATTTAAAAATTTTCTCGAAATTATTCTCGAATGTTCATTTCTCTTGACAAGAAATTGCTGATCAATCTTAATTATTATAAATTGAAAACGGTTTTTGGTCAATATAGAAATTAATTTTCTAATAATTCTAAATTTTATTTTTTTATATTATTTTTTATTATCGTAAACATATATGCAATTGTCCAAAAGAAAAAATTGATGCATTTCAATTTTCATTAACATTGACTTTTTGTGAGCTTCAGGTTCCAGTAGTTTTAAACAACCTTATACTTAAACAATTACATAGTTTAAAGATATTTTGTTCTGCATGAAAACATCAACATTGGAATTGGTTCTAAGTTTTCAAATATATTGTATAAATATTTTAGCTCCTAAAATTTAACTCACCTCTTTGGAACAAAATCTAGTTCGAAATTATCAATTTGGTGGTACTTTTTACCATTTTTTTCAATGGCGTCAAGTCTTCCTTGAATAATAGCTGTAGCTTCGGTATTTACTGAAACGACAACAAACAAAGTTAATCATAATAATTTAATAAACTATTTAATGTATATGCCGAAAAATATCAAATTAATAATATAATTTTAGATAAAATTTAAAGCTACTTAGTTAAAATTTATTTTGAAATTACTCAGAGGTTATGCATTTTTAAGCAAATAGTTTTCAATAACTATAGTCAAGAAGACTGTTAAAATATATATATATATATATATATATATATATATATATATATATATATAAAATAGCAAATAACAATTAACGATTAATTAACTTTTCGTATGGTAAGTTATAGTAATCACAAAAAAATTGTAAATGTAAATTATTATATATCTTTACGTTTTAGAGGTTTCTGAACATTTTGGCACACCATAGAAAAAAATGATGTATGTATATGTGTGTGGGTGTTTGTATGTGCGTATGTGCAGATACAAATTTTTGTCGACGATTTCGGTAACACGAATCGATTTGAATGATTCAAAAAACCGTCGAGCTGGCGGGTTTGAAAAGATACGAGGCAAAATGTGCCACAAATGGTGATTAATTTTTTGAGAGTACGGAGCGTCTGATTTCAATAACTCAAAAAAAAATTAATTGTATTGAAAAATCGAGAACTGATTACATTTTTAAGAAGACAGAGAGTAAAAAAAGTAAAAAAAAAATCCATTTGGCAGTCAAAAATGATGATTAAACATATGCACAACAAATTATTAGATATTTTTATAAATTATAGAGATTTTCATAAAAAGTATCAATGTCTTGCGGCGCTTACACGCTTTAATATTGTTTCTGTAAAAAAGCAACGCAGCATGATTGCTTAGAAAGAAAGTTCAAAATTTCCAAACAAATTCAAAATACATATGAAAATTTCAATTTTTTCAAAAAAGTCAAATTTTTTCAAGAATTTCAAAATTTTCAAAAATCTAAATCTATCAAAAATTTTCAAAAAAATTGTAAAGCTTTTTTAATCATTCTAATTTTTCGTACAAAAAGTTCTAGCAATTTGTCTTAAGGCACGATGTCATGCACCACTAGTTTATTTTATTAGAATCAAGAGCGCGCAGTTGATAAAACTAATGATATGATTTTGCATAAGAAATGTTATTACATAAAAGTCTTACCAATAGTCAGGTTTGATTTTCCTTGACCGACAATCGGCAGCACGAGAACTCTTCCGCTGACGTTGTAGTCGCCGTACAGTTCAAGTCTGGGCATTAGTAAATGCAGTTTCCAATCTAACTTTTCAGTTGAAAAACTCCTACAATTAGTATTGATAAATTACAAATTTATATATGCATAACCATACATGCATGCAACTATTTATTATTAACTTGTGTTGTTTATCGTTTATATCAAAGATGTATAACCAGCCATTCGGAGACAAACGGTAATGTTTGATAATTCATAACAAAAGTATTTTCTATCGTTGTTAGTTTTTTTGGTTTTGAAAGCACTAATGCTTAGTTTACGAAATCTCAATATAATTTTTAAGTAAAACTTATGTAATTGTTTTATGAGAAGTACAGGTAATTTTAAGTAAATTCAACAGTTTTTTATGTACCCTTTATAAAAGCTTGCACCTGTGTAGGGTGAAAAGAACCAACTGAACCTTTATCCTGACAAAGATGTTAAAAATAAAAAATAGTAAATAAAAAACTAAATTAAGTCAAAAAAAACAATTTTACCAAAAAAAAAAAATACTTATTTCAAATCTGTTTATACATGTTTCTGACAAACTACGAGATAAAGGTTATTTACAGTTCTATATCTGTAAAAAATGAACCAATGAAATTTATATTTTGCCCCTAATACCCCTAATACCCCTTTAAGATTAAAATGAAACATTGGAAGCGTTTGCCTTCTGCCCGTCCCAATTTACACCGCCTATGTGGTAAAAAGAACCAGGTTACAAAGTTTTAAAAAACAGCATAAAACATACATTTCTACAATGGAAAATTAGCTGGGAGTTTTACTGAACATAGTTAAATAGCTGTTTGTCTGATATGTATTATTTGCTGTGATATAATTGTTGGTTTTCACAATAACATACAATGATCAAAGTCAAATTGGACCTTTGTACCCCGCCCTACCCTATATTAAACGGCTTTCTATGTATTTAAAATACAGCACATCTAGTATAACCACTACTTTATATTTTACTTTATTTATAATTAAATACACTAAATTGGCAAAGAAATATTTTATGTATATTATAAGTTATTTTTATAATAATTTAAATATTGAATAGAAATGTATCAAAGTTTAAAAAATAAAAAAACTGTTTGTAACAGAAACTATGTTAATTGTATCAAGTTCAGCATTAATTTGCTTAAATGTTTACGATTAACGATTGTGTGTAACGTTTTTAAAACATAAATCTAATTATAACATAAATATTTAATATGTTATTTGAATAAATAAATATTTGTGAAACTTAAATTGCACTGCCAAAAAATTATTCTTTATGGAACACTTTTTCCAATTCTTATACGGTCTATATATTTTGCTAAATATTCTGCCAAATGATCATTGGGCATATACATTTCAGATTTAACCAAATTTTAGTCCCATATAATCTAATAACTTCAAAGTTCACTTTTATACTTTAAAATTTTAAACAAACTTATTTTGTTTGGAAAGTTAAAATTTTAATCTAATCAAATTTTAAATTGTTAATATAACTTCATATCTCCTTATGAAAATTTCGGCATAAAATTGGACTTTCGTTAGCATTCATCAATTTTGAATAGAAATTTTTGGAACGAAATGTTCGTAATTAATTGTTGAAATTATTTTTTTGACTAGATTTGAGAGTTAAAGTCTATTCGCTATCGATTCTTATTGATCAATATAATAAATTAAAGATACTCACTCCACTTTTTTCACAGTAATTTGGGATAATCCGGTAAGATCATTGTCTATAAAATTTAACTTGACTGCAATAGGACTTTCCATTCCCTGGTCGATGTGAATGCCAGAAATGTGCAATGGGTCTACTTTGGCCATATGTATTTTGGGACTACCTTAAATACGATCATAACATTAATATTTATTTCATCTATTTGTAGTATTGTTTATTATAAAAGTCTCCAGCAATAAATTATGAAGTAAATCGATTCGGTATTTACATTTTACATCTCATTATTGCAGGAAAACAAAAGTTTAACTTTAGCGAATGTATGAAGAAGAGTGAACATGTAGATTTAAAATAATCTAAAAATTTGAATAGTTGTTCAAAGTCAAGGTTAGGCTTGATATCAGATTTTTGTGTGATCAGATGTTCGTAATATAATTACGTGATCATTTGCATTATAATTCATTGAAATGATGAATAATTTAAATAAATTATTTATCTAGTTTTACATGATTTTATTTTAAATGTGGATATTAATTTCTTATTATGGCTTATATGTAAAAATTATTTTAAAGTATTTACCATCTTTAAATACAAACAGCGCTTCTTCGATCGCCTTTTGTAAGCACGTTGTATCTTCAAATTTACACCGTGGCACATTCGAAGCTGTAAAAAAATAAATGCTAATATAAGTAGAATAATTTATTTATAAATATATATATATATATATATATATATATATATATATATAGATTGGTCCATAACGCACCGCTATTAATAACTTAAAATATAGTAGGGCAATATGTGCTTCTTCAATTTCTCGTTTGTTAATATAATAGTACATTATTATTTTACACAAATTTAGTGTTCAATCAATTTTACATCATAATTATTTTTTTCTGTTGTTTTGCCTGGTTTGATTACTGAATGATGGCACACATCAAGTGTCGAAACGTTTAATGGAATAAATAATTTTGTTATTAAATCTTTTTTTTAATTCGACGATTGGGCTGCAAAACACGCACACACACACATATATATATATATATATATATATATATATATATGTTATTACACAGATATATATATATACATATATATACATATATATACATATATATATATATATATACTAGATGACCCGACAGACGTTGTCCTGTACCCAACTCTGCATTTTTTCAATATCCTGTACTAATATTCACCGTTCAGTTAAAATTAATAATTATTGTTTTTCGAATTACTATTTACATCAATAAATGAGTGAATGTAGAACTGCTTCAAATAAAATGATGATTCTCAATTCCCACAGTTAACACTTTAATTATCCCTTTAACAAATATTAAAATATGTTCAATAAAATTATATAATAAAAATTAAACACTGCAATTTATAGTACAAATTTATTTCCAATAGTTCAATTCATTTTAATGTCAAGGGTTATACAATTTTTTAGTCATACCCGTAGGTGTGGATGTAAAAATGAACGATTTTTTGTTTATTCACGGCTGAAACATTGACTTTCCAAATGTATCACACAAAAAATCATCGCCTGCCTTTGTGATTTATAGCATAATTTACACGTGTTGAAAATTGAAGTTTTTTAAAGGGTATAACAAATTCAGAAAGAATTAATAAATAGCATTCCCGGTAAAGGTACAATATCACATTGTTTTTTTCTACGCAAAATAATGGCTTCAATAATGTTGCCTATAATTTTTATATATTTATACCATATTTTAACTGGCTTTTAGTAATTTTTATATCTAAATTACATTTTTCTCACTAATAAATTTATATACATTATTACTTAAGTTTATATTTGAAGTGAATTAATTTGTCAAATCCTGTTCACATGTGCTCTATTCAACCTACGATCAACAAAATTGCAGTAAATGGAGAGGAAAAAACCGTGTGTCGGAAATAGGCTAATCTTAATCTTAAATTCAGAAGTGAAAACAATTTGCACTCCGTCACCACCCACCGGATTAATTAAATTATAACTCTTTTAATTCTGATTTTATCAATACTTGCAATACATACTATTTTAAAGGTAATTAAATGAGCTACAACTTTCTAACTTACGTACCTAACTTCTCTTATTTTGAAATGGCAAAGGATTGAAGGACTCGAAAGACATTCTGGTTGTACACTATCAATGTTTGTGTAACAGAAAAATAATAAAAAGCAATAATTGGTCAGTAAAAGACCTTTCATTTATATACCTTTATACGTATCTTTTATTTTTTTAAATAGATTTTTTTTTCATGAAATCATGAGCTTTTTGGAAATCCTTTGCACTAAAGTTTTGGTATTTTCTAGAATCCGTCAAGATCTCTTAAACCAAGTTGATTCCAGAGGGAATACGATTATTTTTAATTTTGGTGGAAATGACACTCAAAAACTATTTGCTTTAAACGAAAAAAATATTGTATGCGTCTTTTATCTGCATGATAGCTCACTCATCTTACACGCAGAAGTACTAATTTTAAAGCTTATTTTGAGTATTATAAAACCCCATTTTCATATCTAGCTTAATTTTGTCCTTAGAACAATTTATAGAACACCGATTTATTAGGATTTTGATTGATATAATTTTGTTCATTACATGATTTTCGTTTAAATGTATATTTTTAGAAATAATTGCCAAAAACGATGAAAAACGCAAAAAACAACAAATTTTCAGTAGCCAGTAACTTGAAAAGTAATTTTTTTTTTGAAAAACATTATTAAACATTTTTCTATTCTAATTAGTTTTTTTATCGATATCCGACGTTAGTTTGAAAGAGATACAATTGAACCACTGAAAAGAGATGTCATCCCCCCGGGAAGTGGCAAATGATTCTAAATTATTTTTACTTTTAAACTTAAGAGTAAGATGAACCTAATTCCAAAATTTCATGCAAATTGGAGCGCATTAAAAATATTCAGACCCAAAATGCTCCATTGTCTTGAGTAAATATTTCGTATCCAATGCCAAACATATGAATTTTAGACACAATGAAACTTCTAAATAATTGTTTGAATAAATAAATTATTTTTGTATCGTGATTTAGTAAAGTAAGGCAAAACACGACTGCATTTAAAAGTTAAAAAATAATAATTAGTCAAAGTGAATTGTAGGCTGTTTTATGTGCGATCACTGACAGACGCATGCGCAGACTGCATCACCTGTCAGTTGTTGGCTGTATCTTATACTAAATCTTATATTATTTTAATTTTTAGCACATCTCAGCTTCTTTTTGGCAATAATAATGTAGTCCTTACATTTTTCCTATTCATAATCATAAATATATTATATTTTAATATTGTCTTAGCCTATAAGTTTTTTTTTTTTTTTTTTTTTTTTTTTTTTTTATAACTCGTTTAGTTTAGCCTATAAGTGAATGGAAATGTTTGGCAAATGACAGTCGTCTTTTGTTTTTAATGTCAAACTATGCCTTAAATATGTTCAAGGGCAAACAATGATAAGCGGTTTTTTGTAATTTTTTCATTTATTTCTACAATCTAACTATATTTCTATAAATCAAAACATTCTAGAAAATTTCCCGAACAAACTTCAGGAAGATTCATGAAAATCCGAATTATAGTTTAGGAGGATTAATGAAACTTGCATTGTTACAGAAGAATTTTATATATAAGATATATATATATATATATATATATATATATATATATATATATATAGATATTCAATAGATAAGTCCTGGATTTTTTCAATATATTGATTGTTTCTTTTCCGAACAGTAAATTCAATAATAAAAAACAATTTGTTTCGGAACTAGGTACGTTCCATCATCAGATTTATTCTGTAATAATTTAAATATCCATATCACTAATATTTTTTTGTTAAAAACACTCGATTTTTTGGAGGATATTTGTAGATGTTACGACTACACAAGACTTAAACAAAATTTGCTTTATTTGACTTAAATACATACATTGATTTTTACATAAAGATACAAATTGTATACACCTATTCTGGGAATATCATTATACTATCATAATATAATATTGTTTGCATATATATATTTGCTTTAATTGACTTATGTAAGTATGAAAAGAGCTATTAAAAACGAAGTTTTTTAGAAAACGGCAATTTTTTTATCTATGTTTTAACCAAAACTTCTGAACCAAACCAGAAAAATCAAAAAGTGTTCGCAAGATATCAGTTGGAAATCATGCTGATTACTTTTTGGTAAAGATTGGTTGATCCGTTTCTTCGTAATCCTAAAATATTATAAATCGTCATAAAGTGGTTTGATAAATAAAAATAATAATGAATTAAAAACAAAAGAAATCTTCAACTATAACAAATTAAATTGAAACAAGTTATGCAATCGTGGACATGCAATTTTGTTCTGGGGATGGTAAATTTCTGAATTTTGTTCAGTAAGTGATATCTAAATAACATATTTTAAATTTTTGAAAAATTTTTTATGCTAATTCCACACAAAACTTTGATTGAATTGCGCACTATCTGAAAGACAATATTAAGAGCTAAAACTAAAATTGTTGTTATCAATTTGGAAGCATTTGAGCCCTTGGGAGCAAGGAAATTCGAAAATGTTCATTATTGTTATTCCCATTATCGTTTTATTACTATTAATTAATGGTAATAAGATGGTAAAGGGAATATTAAACAAGGAAGGGGAAGAAATTCATTGACTTTGCGGTGCACAATCATACGATGGGCCTGCCTTCAGACAGACTACTATAAATTATTTATTTATTAATATTATATATATATATATATATATATATAGTTATATATATATATATATATATATATATATATATAGATAGATATCTGTGTGTGTGATCTTAAGTGCATACTAAATGCGTTTGAAAAAGTGAAACCATTCTCATTAATGTGCCATAAATATTGAGACGATCGCTGTGTTTTTTATGTCATATATATACTATCACTTTTAAATATTCCCGTTTGTGTTTGAAATATTTATAATTTTGTAATGTCAATCGCGTTCTTAAACTAAAGCCTGAAGTTGAAATTTACCGTAAGTATAAAACGTCATAAAATGGACAAGAAACTGGGATGTCGGTGATGACACATATATTCTACCTCTTTATAGCGACAATTTATTGCAATATATATTGACTAATACATGTGAAAACCAGTAATACACAAACATGTCTATAAATAAATTATATACAAATAAGTATACCCAAATAAGAAGATATAAATATATAGTTTTTTTGTGTGAAAACATAAATAATGTAGTCAACTATTTTTATATTTCTGAACGACTGACCTCTGAAGAAGTGTTTGATATGACCCAGCCACTTCAACAAATTTGCTTATTATTCCTTGAAGGAATAGATGCATATAATTTAGAAGGAAAAAACAATCAGCAAATAAAAATCAGCTGAGAATTGATTGAGATCTACAGATATTAATTTGTTTCCTTCGTATATTTTATAATAGATCTACGTATTTTTGCAATGAGTTTTAAAGCGTGGGTGCTCAAAGCTGCACTCACGTACTGTATATAGACTCTACAATGATATACAAGTACAGTATACTAAATAATTTGTTTTATTTTGTTTGTTTGTTATGGTTTAAATGTCTGTATGTTATGTTCTAAATTTTCAATGTCAATAAAGTAATATTACAAAAAATAATTAATAAAAATTTCAGTTAAATTTTT